GTATTCTGTGAAATTGAATTCGGATGGGTCCCTCAACCGTTTCAAGGCTCGCTTGGTTGCCTTAGGAAACAAGCAGGAATATGGAATTGATTATGATGAGACATTTGCACCGGTTGCTAAAATGACATCCGTTCGTACGGTACTCTCTATAGCTGCTTCTAACGGGTGGGCTCTTTATCAATTAGATGTGAAAAATGCTTTTCTTCATGGTGACCTCGCGGAAGACATTTATATGACTCCTCCTCAAGGTTTATTTTCATCATCTAAGGGTGTGTGCAAGCTTAAACGCTCCTTATACGGTTTGAAACAAGCACCTAGAGCATGGTATGAAAAATTCCGCTCCACTCTACTTGGGTTCTCCTTTACTCAGAGTCAGTATGATTCTTCTCTATTTATTCATAGAACGTCTACTGGAATTGTCCTACTTCTTCTGTATGTTGATGATATGATTATTACTGGTTCTGATCATGCTTCCATTCAAAGCCTTAAACAGCAGTTACAAGCAGCGTTTCATATGAAAGATCTTGGTAATTTGCATTATTTTCTTGGTCTTGAGGTTCATTCTACATCCAAGGGTATATTCCTCCATCAACACAAGTATGCCACAGATTTAATTTCCATGGCTGGTCTCCAATCGGCTAATCCAGTGGATACTCCGCTTGAGGTTAATGTTAAATATCATCGTGATGATGGTGATTTGTTGCCTGATCCCTTATTGTATCGTCAACTCGTGGGTAGCCTTAATTACTTGACTATTACTCGCCCTGACATATCGTTTGCTGTTCAACAAGTAAGTCAATTCATGCACTCTCCTCGCCACCTTCACTTGGCAGCAGTTCGTCGTATAATTCGTTACTTGAAGGGAAGCTCTCATCGTGGTTTATTCTTTCCTAGTGGAGTTGCTCCTAAATTGAGTGCTTATAGTGATGCAGATTGGGCAGGGTGTCCTGATACTCGACGATCTGTCACTGGTTGGTGCATGTTTCTTGGCTCTTCATTGATCTCATGGAAAAGTAAGAAACAAGCGAGAGTCTCTAAATCTTCTACTGAATCTGAGTATCGTGCCATGTCTGCTGCTTGTTCTGAAATAATTTGGCTTCGTGGTCTTTTGGCTGAACTTGGATTTCCTCAAATAGAGCCAACTTCGCTTTATGCTGACAATACAAGTGCCATCCAAATTGTTGCGAATCCTGTTTTTCATGAACGCACCAAACATATTGAAGTTGACTGTCACTCAATTCGTGATGCTTATGATGACCGAATCATATCACTTCCTCATGTCAGTACTCAGTTGCAGATTGCAGATATTCTTACCAAGGCTGTTCCGCGTCCACGTCATCAGTTTCTTGTTAGCAAATTGATGCTTATTGACAAGCAGCATCAATTTGAGGGGGGATGTGAATAAGGGTTTGTTCCTAGAATAAGGGTTTGTTCCTAGAATAAAGGAAACAAATTAGAAATTGACTTGTTCTCATTAAAATGTAATTATTTAGTGTAATTACCAATATAGCCCTGTAACCTCTATATATACGAGAAATAATAATGAGAAAAGTATTAAGCCAAGAATTCTTGACAATAAATTGTTTTACTTCAATTCAAGGTGTTCGTCGTGCCTCACGTCGTTTTTTTTGCGTGTGTGGACGTTTAAATAAATATTTGCATTTTTATACTTAAAAGAGGCAATGCCCACGGCTTTCTCTGCCTCGTCCTCACTTTTTTGTGAGGCAGACGTGAATTTTAAATTCGCATTCTCAACTATTGTCGTCCTTTCCTGTCTTGTGTTTTTCAGACTTTTGCAGGACGGATATAAACGGGACAAACATGTCCATTTGTCATCCCTAATTATAATGTCATGCCTATTTGCAAAATACTTTCAAGTCTCTTACTTGTCTCGCTTTCAACTTATTTTAACTTTGCTCATCCAATTAATTTGTCTTGTTTTTCTTTAATTTATTGACTTGGGCAACAATTTTTTTTATTTATTTAAAATTTGTACTTCCTCCATTACATATTATAAGTAAAGTTTAGTTTGTTTTTTTTTATATTTATTAAATAATTAGCATATTTAATTTATATATTGATCAGATATATTAATTATTTAATAAATTTAAAACGATAAAATTTATTTATAATATAAAATAGAAAAAGTAATTTTTAAATCTTCAAAGACTCTTTAATCTTTAAAACTATAAATATATAGTAAATCATCACACCTAAAAAAATACTCGAATACACTTATCTAATAGTTTAAGAATGTGTTTGAATGAAATATTTTAATGAAAATTTTTGAAAAAATTTATAATGATTTGATCAAAATCTATTGTTTGGATAAAAAAATATGGAGAATTGTTAAAATAACATAAATTTATGAAGTATTTTATTAAGTTAAATTTAAGAAATTTCAAATAATGTCAAAAAATAAAAAATTTTGAAACTATTCATTCACTCTATATAATATAAAAGTTAAATGGTTTATTATTAATTTTTTTAATTTTATAAAATAGTTCTTATATTTAATGAAAATTTCAAACTTATCCTCGACATTTTCAAAAAATTGCAAACAAATTCCTAATAATTTGCAAACTTTATAAATTGGTGCCTTTAATTTTTCAAAAATTACAAATTAGCCCATATTTTCTTATTTTAAATTTGGCCAAAAGCTTTAAATTTATGAAAATAACCCCAAAAATTTAACAATGAATTTAGTTAATATTTCATCCAAACAAAAAAAATTTAAAAATGAATAAATTTTAATTAAATCATTTAAATTACTTAAAATTTTGAATTCCTTAAAAAAAATTAATTATCTCATTCAATCACACTCTAAAAAAACAAAAAAAAACTCATATGCAAATTATCAAATATTCTAATTCTTAAATTTATTAGGTTTAAGTAAAATTTACACTTATCAATATTCACCTCTCCTTTGACCCATATCCAAGAACTAACTCTTTCTATTCATTCTCAAAATAAATTTAAAAAGGAATTATATGAGTGTGGATAGTAAAGTATGTAGGTGTATATAGCACCTGGTTTCCATATTAACATAAAAATAAAGCCCAATTATTTTGTATCGTAATATTATGGTAAAACGACAGCACCTGGTTTCCTTTTAGACCAAAAACAAACACAGCGAAGTAAAACGACAACTCCTTCTGCGTTTCGTTCTTCGCTTCGAACGTCTTCGCTCTTCAAACCTGTAAGTTTTCTGTAACATTGATTTCAGCAATGGAGCTTCATTTGAATCTTAGGGTTGAAATCCCTGTGTTGGTTGATTTTGAGTTTCAGTAGATTGAGCTTGATGTTAGGTTTTCTAATTTGTTGTTTTAGGGTTTTATTGATTTGCCTGATTTTTAAGCTACTATTGTTGTTTGATTTTTGCTTGTTTGGGTCAGCTTATTTAGTACAAATAAGTGATTAATGAGAGAAATGCTAGTTGGTTGGATGGCCCTAATTTTGTTCATAGATTGTTGGTGAAAAGTTGCAGTTGATTTTAGTTAAAAGTGTGTTTAAGATAAAATAATTTATGTTAGGAATGAATTTGAATGTAGAAATCACAATGAGGAAAAAACTACCGATTTTAGTTTCAAGATGGAATCACCAATAATATTTAAAATTGTGGAATTAAAATTAAAATTAATATTTAAATTGGGATCCGACGAACACCCATACTTCAAATGTTTGAGTGCAGGCTTGATTGATTCCAGCAAACCCAATTTCCTCATAAGACTCATCTAACCCTCAGTTTACCAACACATAACTAAGATCAACGGCCAAGATCCTCTTTCCCGCATAAGATCAAATTCTAGCCTCACGATTACTTTGCTCTCTTCACGGAAACGGCAAAACCTTCGTTGCCGCCATCGTGTTCCCGTCGCCGGAGCCATAACCTCCACCCTCTCGGTTTTCTCCTTCCTCCGTAAGTTGATTTAATTCCCTTTTTCGTCTTCCTTTGTTTCCCCCCTAATTTAGACCAAACCCTAGATTTCGTTTCCTATTAATCATGAAATCAATACTGTTTCAATGCATTTATTTCATGAATTGTTAAATCCCTAACCCAATTTCACTTCTTCATGATCAAATCCCGTTTCCCCCAAAATATGCTTCGAGCCCTAATCATTTAATTTGATAACATATGCTTACATTAAATGTATCTAAGTATTGTATGATGATTGAATTATTGGGATTGATTTTTTGTTTTGTTCCTTATAATTTAAGGGGCCTTGGTTTTTTATGCTTGAAAGTTTTTTTCTTTACAATTACATTATGATTTCTGAGTTGCTTGAAAATTTTACATGAATGTAATCTCAGTGTTCTGATTTTATATACTTACATTCATTTTGAATATGAAGTGTTTAAAATGGAAGCATTTCACGTTTGAAAAGAGTTAAAAAGTTGTCATTTCCTGGGTTTGAAAATTTGTTAGAAAATATTGAGGCTTATTTTTTAGCGATAGTTGATTGAAACTTGATTCTTAGATATATGTTGTGGTTTTCGGTTAAATTTTTCCGAGTATTGGTTGATGTTATTGAGGTGAAAGTTATTAGTTTCATCATATCATTGCCTGTGTGCTAGTTGTTAAAATTCTGTTTCCTTCCCGCTTTAATTTGTTTGTGCTGGTTAATGATACATTTACCTTTCAAAGTTCTGTCTTTAGTGAAACAATAGACAATTTTCATTCTAATATATAGTTGTATACTTGATTTATTATTGAGAAATTAAAGAGCTCTCTGTGACTGAGATTCTTATATAGAATCTTATAAGTTGTGTATCAAGTGTGTGAAGTTTTACAATCATTTTGGACTTTCTTTCAAGTTGTTTATCGAACGTTGATGTTATTGCATCTTACTCTGTGTATCTCTCTGCAGAATGGACGATACTGTAAGGTGTAGTTTATGTTGAATTAAATGAAAGGAATACCCAAGATCTTTACTAGATATCATAGCATATTTATGTTTATTCTCATTCTTACTCTATTTTATTTTCATTCACGTAGAACCATGGCTAGTAAAGCCGAAGATCGCAAGGAGCCAGTAAATGAACAGGCAGTTGCAAATATGTATGCAGCTATGAGGTCAGACCTCAACCAAATCTACACCAAAATAACTGAACTGGAAATGGAAGTAAGCGAGCACTCGTTGGTTCTTAATGCCATTCAGCCGCTTGACCAATCTAGACGATGCTATCGAATGATCGGAGGGGTGCTTGTGGAAAGAACCATCAAAGAGGTCTTGCCTGCTGTGCAGCGAAATAAAGAAGGACTTGAAGAGGTTGTTACAAGGCTTAACGAAACACTGGAAAAGAAGAAAAAGGAAATTGCTGAGTTTGAGACTAAATATAAAATCAGGATGAGGAAAGCCGACGCCGAGGTGAATGATGAATCTGGTAAGAAGGAAGGTTCTGCTCAAGGAGTACTTGTGGGCCCTGCAGGTGGTGGTGAATGATATTTCTAGTCTTATTCGGTTTCCTGAAATGAATGGCATGAAATTTTCCGCCCTCTCTTACAGTTAGTGGTTGTAGCTGTATGATGGTTGTTTTTGTAGAGATTAGAGTCTAAAACTTGATATGATCTTCATTTTAATTGCTTTCAGCTGAAGTAAACTTATCTTCAATGGTTCAAGATTCAAATACTGGTGTAGATTTTTGTATACACTAAAACATATAATGATATTATCTAGATTATATTGTGATGTAGAAGCATATTTTGTTTTAACAGTTTTTTTTTAAACAAAATGCTAAACTTGGTAGTTTCATATTAAAATGGTAGCTTTTCTAAGTTCCTTACCTACCAGTAGTACTGCTCTACACTGAAAAAGCAAAACAAATTAAAATGGTAGCTTTTAGGCTGCGTTTTCTTCATTGTGGAATATGCGGCCATTGTCTGTGGTGCGCATCAGTATTCGTGTTCTTATTGACCTCAACAAAACTCATTGGTAAAAGGAAAACACAACACCTGCTAAATGTTGCTAGAGATATCCTATTTCAAGCTGTTATGCCTATAAGATTTTGAGGTGATGCAATATCTGCTACAACTTATTTGATTAACATAACAACTTCAACTTCAAAGGTTCTAGGTAAATCTTCACATTTTTCAGTTGTTGTATGAGAGTGAGTGTGTGTATTTTAAAAAATGGTTTTGGCAGATGTCGATATCGATTTTGATATCATCATTTTCTATATTAAGAACAAAAAAACCTCAATTGTTTTTTAAAACCCAAATAGAGGTCATATAGAAAATAATCATGTGGATAAAATTCTACGATCAAAATTGGACCATAAAAAATCTATAATATACGTCAGATTTAAATTTTTTGTTCGAAATTGATTGATTGTCCAACAATATACTTTTTAGGAAAAGACCAATCTTTTCTTAAAATCTCGAATTAGCCAATGAATCATCTAAAATTATAAATTATTTAAAATTTTATAAATCAGCGGAAGACATTAATTTATTAATTTTTTTTTTAATTTAGAAAAGCAATAATCAACTGCAAAACTTTTTTTTATAAAAGATAATTTATTTTTTAATACATAAAATAAATATTTTGTTTTTTTTATCAAATACATTTTTTATTCAATGAATTTGTTATCTATTAATCTATTATAAAAAAAATCTGAAGCAATAATATTCATTCATTGAGTTCATGAAATCACACATAGCACATGAAATGGAGCTTCATCTTGGTGCATCCAATTCTCTATCATCTGAACAAATATCCCCTCTCTTAACCAATGGAAGGGAGGATTCTCAAAATCTAAAACATGTGAGTTTTATTCAACTTTTTTTCAACATTCATTGCTTATATTAACATTGTTCTTGGTTTCAGTTTCTACACTATCAATCAATTTAATCATAACTAGTTCTAAAGTTACACATATAATTGATTATGATTATGAAAGAAATTTAACTCTTTTTGTGAACTAGTTGCAGGAAACTAATAAAGAATTACCAAAGTTTTTGGATTATGCTTCCTATCTTATTCATTTGGCTGTTTTTGGTATTCTTGGGGTAATGTTCTATCTTCTGAAATTCAACTTTAGGAAAATGATTATGTGAGCAGTTAATAATTTTTCGGAGAAGTATTATTTCTATACGACTATTACTAGTCGGAAAACTATAGAATAATTGAATGTAACTACATACACCTGACACGGCGCCATGGCCGTTGCAATGGTAATTATTGTTGATATTGCGGGTTTTTCTGCCATAATCCACTATAATTGCACTATAAAGCGGTCAGTATGACGGGATTTTGGCCCTCTGTCATGGACGATACTGATGTATGCTACAGATCTATCAATAGTCTTGAACTCTTGAGCATGATACTGATTCATGAAATTTGTTTTGTTTTGCTGTTATGTTATGATGCAGGTATTAACTAGATATACATTGGACAAATTATTTGGCCCTAGTGTTGGTCATGTGACTAGTGACCTAACCATTCTTTATCTTGACCTGCCTTCTAATATGGTCTCGACTTTGTTCCCTTCCATCACTTCTTCGTCTCGCTCTCTCTGGCACACACGTTTGTTTTCTTAAGCATATTCTTTTGCATAATATGAACTTGTTTGGATTGACTTATTTGAACTTGTTTGTTTTTAAGAAGCTTCATCGTCTAACTTTTCCTTAAGCCAACGACTTTTTATTTTTATTTTTATGAATATGTTTCTAGGTTGGTTCGTTTCTGATGGGTTGGTTTGGTGTTGTATTCAAACAAGACATATCAAATATGTCTGAGTATCTGGCTGTTGCAGTGACAACTGGTTACTTGGGGAGTCTAACAACGTTTAGTGGCTGGAATCAGAAAATGCTCGAACTCGGTGTTACTGGAAATTGGCTCTTTGTTGTGCTTGGTTATCTAATAGGTAAACATAAGAACAAAAAAATTTTCTCATTCAAAACTTTGGTCTGTAATCATAGGATGAGCTTTTGAGTAATTGGAATTCTTCAGGGATTTTTCTTGTCGCCTTTTCGATCATATTCGGTATAGAAACAGCTAAGGGCTTCAGGTGGCTTCTCAGAATGTCAAACATCAAGGCTAAGGTGGAAAGTTTCAAGAATCACTTGGTGGTTATGGCGGTGTTATTGCTGGTTTTAGGCTTTTTATGGTGTGTTAGTGGCGTGTTGATGATATCTGAGTTTAAGAATGATGAAAATTCTTTTCTGTGGATTGCTTGCATAGTTGGACCTGTTGGTGTGTGGATTAGGTGGCTTTTGGCCCCATTGAATAGACATGGATTAGGATCAGCAGGTTTGTTGGATTGGATTCCATTTGGAACTCTGATTGCAAATGTCTCTGCTGCTTGTATCATGGCTGCACTTGCAACAACAAAAATATATGTAAGTTTTCTTTCTACAATATGATTCATCACGGGCCGGTTTAGTTTTTGAAAGCTCGCGTAGGTTAGCTACGGTTTAATAGTGGCAAATAAATCGGGACTCTATTTTACCACGGTTTAACAGTGACATATATTGTATGAGATCCTATTTAGACACAGTTAAACCGTGACAAATTTTAGCTCATATGCGGTAGTTAGGGCTATTCATAGTACAATTCAATCAAAATAGAGAACCAGATCAAACTGAACTATCGTAAAAGGTCATTTGAATCGAACTGAACCGAACCGTTTCAACTTATGCAGAACCGAGCCGAACCAATATTATTGGTTTGGTACCCCGGTGGAAAATTCCAAACCGTACCAAACTGTTAGAAGACAGTTTTTTCTAAACCAAACCATTTGTTAAAGAACAGAACCATTATACTTTCTTGAATTTTTTTTAATAAATAATTTTAAACTTCTTTTTAGTATTTTTCATTTTCATTTTCAGTTTCAGTTCAGACTACTTGCAATTTGGTTCGGTTCTAGAATTGTTTGTGCAACATGTTTCAGTTCACTAACCAAACATAACAGTTCAATTATTTTAACTTCAGTTCGGCTCTATTCGACATTTTTTTTAACAGTCCTAGCGGCAGTCCACTTTGCATGCCATTAAAGACGGCCCTGACTGTGAATTCAACTACCTTATCATTCTTAGGTTCATGTTTTTTCGAATTTGCATAGCTATAAGCTTATTTTCAAAGAATCAAAAGTAGTTTTGTGATCATATATTGTTTGATGCAGGTGAACACCAGAGATTGTGATATTATCATAAAAGGCATACAGTTTGGTTTGTTAGGTTGTTTGAGTACTGTCTCTACCTTTGTTGCTGAGTTCCATGAAATGAGAGAAAGCATGCATCCTTGGAGAGCATATGTTTATACTCTAATCACAATATGTTCCTCATTCTTTTTAGGGATCTTAATATTCTGTATACCTATTTGGAGAATAGATCACGGATTGCGCAATTTCGAGAACTAGAATAATCTATTTCGAGTCTAAGCGTAGCAAAATTTGAACAAACGGCTATTGTTTTGCGACTGAAGACAAAGTAAGCTCACAATGTAAATTTCGATTTATTTGTCAAGTATGATACAAATATGATAGATACTGTAACGTAGTAAATTAAATCTTATAGATATGCAGTTTTTCTATGGTCTACGCGAAGAACGATATTTGTAAGAAGCGTAAACACCGAGTGCAACGACAAGAATTGTTGCACCAGTGTATATTAGCTTTTGTTTATCTTCTTCATTGAACCTCTTTGCATAGTTAGTTACAGCTTGAGTTGTAGATGAAGCCATGTCTTTGATTCTTGCTTTTGTTGATTCGCGAAAGCTCTTTTTCTCATCGCCGAATTTATCATTGATCATTTCCTTTCCTTTCTCTATGTATGTTTTCATCTGAGGAAAAGTTTCAACTTTTGCAGATTCTTTGCTTTCTTCTTTGGTTTCCTCTTCAAGTGTAGGGGAAGAATCATTCATAGCTTGTAGATTTTCTGATTCCATAGTTTTCTTAAGATTTTCTGATTCCATGGTGGTTTCTTCCTTTACAAGCTTTTGATTTTCCTTATTCTCGTCTTTTAGACTCGATGCAGTGTCTTCTGCTTGAAGTTTAGTATCTTTTGTGTCCACGGCTTTATCGGGAGTTTCTTGATCTTGACTCTTTTGAGGCATAGACTCATGTGTTTCGTCTGATGGAGTTGATGGAGTCGAAGTCTTGTGATGAGATTTTTCCTTACTTTCGACTTTTGTACCTTGAGATTCTTGAGAAATTTCTTCTTGACCCTTCTGTGGTAAAGATTCTTTTTGAGAAATTTCTTCTCGATCCTTTTGAGGCACTGACTCGTTTTTTGAAATTTCTTCTCGGCCTTTTTGAGGTACAGATTCTTTTTGAGAAATTTCTTCTGAACCCTTTTGAGCTATAGACTCTTTTGCTGCGTCCTGCGAGGTCGGATTCTCATCATCTTTTTGGACTTGATCTTTTTGAGAGATTTCTTCCGGACCCTTTTGAGGCGTAGTCGCATTTTGAGCATCCTGTGGAGTAGCATCCTCGTCTTTACTTTTAACATCTGATTTAGGATCTTGTTGAGAAGTGTTTTGTTGATCCTTTTGATCATTTGTTTTAGCAGCATTATTGTCTTCAATTGGTTTTTGTTCTTGTTGAGGAACTTTACCTGGAATATTTGGCATTGTAATAGTGACAGTTTTTCCATCAAACTTGCCTCTAATATTGCCAATATCACAATGTGATGGAACTTGATACTTTTCATTGAAACTCATCATTTTTGATCCAATTGATCTTTCACCAAAAACTCTCACCCTTCCTAAATCATACTCAACTTTAGCACCAATATCTCCTCTTGTAAAACCTATAAGATACATTCAATATTAAGGAATGAAATCATGTTATTTAGCATTTAAAATAATAAAAATAACTTAAAAAAATACTAACTATTGTAGATAAAACATTACAAGACACATTGTATTGAAATATAATGGAATCCCTAGAAGATAATCAATCATGTTCGAAATTATTTCTGTTTCGACCTATTATGTAAAAGTTTGAAAAAATGGGATGAAATAGGACATAGTTAATGGTGTGTGGTTTTAAAATTTTGATTTGTCCCGCGGAGAAGAACAAATATATATTAAAGGGTGCGAATCTAAAACATTGACTTGTTTTATAATAAAATTCGGACAAAATAAATATGTTCGGCGGATCAGATCCGTTTTACCATCACTACATGAGATATTGTCGAACACTAAATATGAACATATTTTCTAAACTAGATTCGAACTTTAATTTGTCACGTAAAATAAACTAGTTTATTCTGCAGCGTAATTGATTTAAAAACTTACTTAAAAAAAAGATTTGAACATGAAATAAATAAATTGTGCAATACCATCAGGAATGTGAACAATGAGAAGGTGTGATTCTGGAGTATTTTGTGTTTCAACTTTTGGATTCAAATTTTCATAGTTATATGATTGCAAAGTAGACACCATTTCTAATATTTTGGCTCTTGTTTGCTTTAAAGTTTAAAAGAACTATGACAATGTTATAATGGAACTTGAACAAATTAGATTTGTTGATTCATATATTTATAATTAATAGTTTGAATGAAATTGTTGAGTTTTCTTAGAAATGAAAGCAATCTTTTTGGATTGCTTTAAGGTGATAAGTTTCATGAATCTCCTCGAGTCATATGTGAGGTATAACCTCTTCAATAAATAAAGTAGAAGTTCTTTGTTTGGCTTATACATTTTAAATTTCTAGGAAGAGAAGGTAAGGCAAAAGCCCTTTGTTTAGCGCATATATATATATATATATATATATATATATATATATATATATATATATATATATATATATATATATATATATATATATATATATATATATATATATATATATATATATATATATATATATATATATATATATATATATATATATATATATATATATATATATATATATATATATATATATATATATATATATATATATATATATATATATATATATATATATATATATATATATATATATATATATATATATATATATATATATATATATATATATATATATATATATATATATATATATATATATATATATATATATATATATATATAAAAGAGAGGTCGACTCAACATTAAAATAATTTTATTTAATCAATTTTTTAAAAGTAAATAAATAAATTAAATTTTGTTAGAGTTACAAATTGAACAAATGATTATTAAAATTTAAGACCTTCTTTTTTATCATGAAATTGTTAAGATCATGAGTCGAAGTAAATTAGAAATATGTAATTGGATTTTGTATAACATTGAACGAATATAAATTGAGCATTGTCACATGACAATAGAATTGAGATTTTTTGATAAACACATAGTGATAATTGGTTGTTCTAAAGTGACAACCGATTGTACTAGTGTAAAGTTTAGAAAATACACTCATGACAATCGGTTGTAGCTAGTGTCTGTCGGTTTTCATGGTTCAAAAACTTATTTTTGGGGGTCTGGCACTTGGTGAGACTTGGTGACAATCAGTTGTCACCTATTGTCAATAGGTTGTCAATGTATTTTGAACTATGATATGCTTTTACATTTTACCTTATAACTTTTTAACTGTGTATGTAATCGATGTGCCATTTGAGGTGCTAGAAAGCTGACATTCAGAGCTACAACATGATAGAGCAGGTGAATTTTTAAAGTATTATTCTTATGCCTACTGTGTTGGTGAAGTTTTATTTATATGTTTGGTTAATGAATAGTTGTAATTATTGTGATAATGTTGATGTGATTATGAGATGAATTGTTATACATATAATGGTAACATGTTGAGTTGAGATATGTAGTTTTGGTGTGGAAACTACCCTGAGGTTGTTGTACTCTAATCATACGGTTCGATGTGATGTCGTTAATTGTTATTGAAGTGTTGTGACGATGCATTCATTCATTCATGCATGCATCTTATATTGTTGTTATTGGTGAAAGAGGCGGGGGGTCTCAGTGAGGGGACTTGTGACTGTCTCAAGCTCGGTGTGAGGTTCATGGGTTCGGTAGATGGAACCTGGTTCTTACTGAGAACCATTTGTTGAGGTCCGTATCGCATGCATATGAGTCATTAATGTGTTGTAAGTTGCATTACTTAGATTGGTGCATATGATGGTGAAATGGGTGAGTTATGAATACTTGTGGATATGGTGCATGATTGATTTCTATGTGAATCTGTATGTAGCAAACTACTATGATTATATATGCACCATTAATTATTTGAATGTATTCTCACCCTCTGTTTGTGTTATTGTGTCTGTATTTCCCTGGAGTACAGACAATCAGGTACCTGAGTATGATCTTGAGGTTAGGGACGATGTTGTACCTCTTTTGTTGTCTGTTGATTGAATCCTTTAGTGAATTCTCTCTCATATGTAACACCAGGGGAATAGGTTGTTCTTTGTTTTATGTTATGTTGCATATCTTCCTTTTGTTTTAGAGATAAACCAATGTTTAATTTTGAATTGTTGTTGAGACTTTTAATACCATAATACTTTTAAAATAAAATTTTACTGCGTATTGAATGGTTTAATTATAAGTAAATGTTTTAGTTTGGATGACCGTTTCGATGTGAGTAACATCCTATTTGGAGAATTGAGTATTTTATATGTTTTACTTGATTTAATTGTCGAGTCGGGGAATAAGGTGTTATAGTTTTCTTTTGTGAAAAACCTGTCTCTCACTTTTAAAGCTCCCTCCGTCTGCATATATGCATTGTAAAATATATCTGAGGATGGTTTGTCTGCACCCAAGTTCAAGTATGTCATGTGCTAAGGCGGACAATACACATGACTCGAAGGTAGCGGCTCTTCCTTGTGATCGACAATGTCATCGTTCACCATATGATCAATTAATATCTCATCTTCTTCTTCTTCCTCGACAACAACATCAAATTCGGCTTTTTCGTCGCCGTTAGTTTGAAAAAAAAACTTATGACGGCTCAACGATCTAAGACAACTGATTTTGTTGTAGTAAAATATACAACTCAATATCATTGAACCTAGAATATTCATGAGTTTGAAATATATTTTGAATATCTTCATCATCTCGAACCTTTAGCTGAAAAAAATTTAACTTGGTTGTTGGCAAAAATAACTGGATTTTCGTAAATGATTTATGACACTAAATCACACTACAACTTCTCCTCTATTCTCTCTTTCAAATGCGAGAAATTCGATATTCTATTTATTGTAAACCAAGTAACATCAACATTGGGAAAATTAAAACCGGATAACTTACATTCAAATGTCTCACCATTGGTGTGAGTATTGATCATGTTGTGGTGAATGAGTCATTTTGTGAAAATTTTAGTTTTCTAGTGGTGTATTTTCGTGTGCTTGCAGCGTGTTTTAGTGGTGATAATGTAGTGTTATTTGGTTCAGTAACAAAGACGTGTGCACTTAAATAAGTTGGAAAAAGCATCGACCAAAATGCACACATGTGCCATAGGCAATGGTGAATGCCTTATATGCTTTACATAGGCGCCACTGCTTGTGGCTTGTCATGTGTTCTGCAACCTTGCATGCATGCCATGCCGACTCATAGTCTCCTTAGCCTGCAAAGCCGCCACGCTACACTGCATGCATGCTCCTAGGACTCGCCACTTTGACTGGTGCATGTGTGGAAAAATAAGACCATCTGCCATAGGTAATGGCACATTAGTGTTAGTTTGCAAGCAAAAAAACTTCCACGTGATAACATTGATAAATTTGTATTTATGTCCACACATTTCCATAAAAACAATCAACAAACACACTTTATAAATAACAAACAGACAAAAGCATTCCAAAATATGGTTTTATTAACCATAGGTGAAACACATAGAGGAACCATCAATAATATTGCGGAGTTTGTAAGTCATTATTTCGAATATATTACTAAATATGTCGTTACATTACTATATTTCTTGTTAATTCTTTTCCTTAATTATTTTTGGTTAGGATCCAAAGAGATTTCGTTGTTGTGTATATGAATATGTCTCATACTCACCATAGTCTCATACTATGTTGATTACAAATTTATCCTCGTTTTGGTAGAAAAATGGAGACCCGGGACACGCACATTTCACCTTCCTTTTGGTGAATGTACTGTCACACTAAAGGACGTGTACATGTTGTTGGGTCTATCTATTGAAGATAGAATTGTTAATGGTCGAGTTAACCAAGATAACACAATATGTGAGTAACTTTTGGGTGTCGCTTTGTTTGAAGACACAACAAGGGGTCAATGTATTAACCTAAAGCACCTCAAACAACATTATTCAAATATGATATTAACCGAAGATTTGATCGAGTATGAAAAAATATTAAAACTCAGTGTTATATTATGTTACTATTTGGTAACTTTTTATTTCCAGAAACTACCGGTAATACTATAAATATTATGTATTTAACTTTGTTAAGAAACATAAATAAAATAAGAACATATAGTTGGAGTTCACCTGTTTTATACCATCTATATAGTTGTTTGTTTTATTCTTGAATGTCGAGAATGTCGTCACTCGCCCCCGTTAACGAGAACAACTTCACATTCTCCTACGTGATAAAATAAGTTTATCTCATTATTTTCACTTGCTTACATTATACTACAACTAACTGTAAATAATTCATTTTCACTCTTTTTAACTTATGTGGTCTGTTTTAAGGATGAACTACAACAAATGTCCCAAACACGTTATTAAAATCTATCAAAATCTTATAGATCACCTTGGACAGGACGATGTATTACAACTAAATAACTCATCATCTTGTTAATTTAGTTTTAATATTACCAATTTACAAGTCTTTTAATCATGTATTTTTCCTCTACTGTTTATCTGGAGGCTGTATTTGGGTCTCGACCATGAGATTAACCTCGAGGATGCTGCAGTTTGAACTGCAAAAACAATAATCATCTGGTTCACTAATGTGGAGATGCACCAGAATGACCGTGTCAAATTGCAGTTCAACATGCAACAAAAAATCTTAGACCCCCCGACATGTTTAGGACAATGGTAACAACTAAGATTCGATGTCCAATGTAATTATGCCAATTGGAGAGAGTTCACTAGGGTGGTGTGTCATCAATGGAAGCACTGACATCAACAAATCATAATCGAACCTATCATGTAGGATGCTAGAACAACTAAAATTATATGAAGTGGTAAGGTCGGTTATAACGACATAATTTGTGTCTGACCCGAGGTATTTGATCGACCCACGCAAATGAGCTTTGTCATCATGTGCCCAACAACCAACCCCCGTCCAACAACTAACCCCACAACATTACCAAACCCAACAACATTGTCAACCCACCCAAACCCAACAACCAACCCCACAACATAATCATACCAGATACACCCAACAACTAATCAAACATGATTACGAACCCACATACACCCAACCATAACCAATTCATGCCACATAGCTAAACACAAAACCAATAGCATGACCTATACCACC